TGGAACAAAACCCTGTCCATCCCTGTGCTCTCCCACAGCAGCTGGTGCTGCCCTGGTCCCTGGAGCCTGGATCCTGGCAGGGGCCGCCGAGGAGGGCAGTTACACTTTAACCCAGCCAGCCCACAGAACCTGCCTGACTAATGATTAAAGGGCTAAATGAGGAGAGCTGAACTCTCTGTGCTCTCCCCAGCCTTGCTACCAGCACTCGTGGAGACAGGCAGGCCAGGGCTTCACCCCACGGCAGCCGCCGGGCCAGCCTGGTTCCTGCTGTGCCCTTCCTTTAACTTCTTGTTACTTCATCTCCTGGTTCTGTAACCCCAGTCAATGGCCTGGCTCATCCCTTTGCACCAGCACTGTGGAGGAAGAGCAAGGAGGAGAGCTGCTGTGGGAGAGCCATTCCCTGGCCTGCTCTCCACCCCGTGCACCCCGGCATTCAGGAGTGCAGCTCCAGACACTGAATCCCTTGATGGGTTCCCAGCCCTGCCTGTTGGAGAACCAGGAGGCCAGGGGCAAACTGGACAGAGGGTAAAGTGTGGCCACTGCACGTGCAGAGGCAGCCTGGCTCTGGCAGGGCTGCACATGTGTGCCAGCATTGCTGTCTGTCTGTCTTCACCTGACCTCTGGAGCAGCCCCCAGCCAGCAGGACCATCCAGATGGGGAGATCAATCCCAGGGACCCTGCCAGTGCCTCACTGAGGTGAGGAAAGGTGTTTGCACATCACACACTTGCTGCATTCCCTTTGTGTCCTGCGCTGGCAGAAGGGAAGAGAATACTTGGAGATGTCCACCCCTAAAGGCAGCAGCTTCTGCCTATCCCACAGGATGAGCAGTGCCCAGCCCCACTCTGGCTCCTGTCTTTCCTCAGCCATGAGAAAAGACACCCTTTCTCACCCTTTTCTCGGGTGTCCCTGAGTCCAGGAGGGATTTGGCTTCGTGATGTCAAGCCAGATGAATCCTGGTTTAATTGACCGTGAGTGAAGTCGTGCTTTGATGGTTAATGTTATACTTGAGGCTGGGAAAACTACTGCAAAATCATAGCAATTAGAGCTGGAAGTGATTCAAGTCATCTAATTCATTTCCTCTCCCCCCTCGCTGTCTCTCTCTGGTACAGGAGCAGCGAGGTTCCCAACAAAACCTCTCCCCTCCCCTGCATTGTTGGGTCCTGCCCCTCTGACTCAAGGAGTGGAGCATCCACGTGTCCCTGGGGAGACAATTCCATCATTTGAAAGACGTCAACATTAGAAAATGTTTCAGATGTTTAGCCTATATTTCCTTTTGTGGAGTGCCACGGATTCTCAGGTCATGAGCTCTGCGCCCCAAGGAGACTGGCTGCTTCCCACGAGGACAGGGCTGGGAATGAGGTGGTGCTTTCCTCTGGGGTTTGCAAGGGCAGGTAGAGAATGTGGGGGTGGTCAATGAAGGTTTTCACACCTGCAAGGCAGGTCAGATCAGGTAGCTTGTCTGGAACGAGCTCTCCCTTGGCAGGAGCTCAAGATTTTCTTTTTTTTTCCATTTCCAGATTTTTATTCCGTGAATTCCACCTTGACTCATAACAATCTCACTGCTGGAAACGTGTCCAGCTCCTCACAAATTCACTTCCTTCCACTTGCTTCTACTACTGGTAGTGATCCCACCACAGGGATTACCCCCACCAGGGGCAAGTGGTAAAGGACAAAAGAAGATCCATGTCAGTGAAAGAAGCACAGTGGATATTCCTTCTCCTTGGAAGCTGTCCCTGCCTCAGCTCTACCCTGGATACAGGATGGGCTGACCAGGGGGAAGATGATGGTGCAGGTGCAACAGAAATGGAAGAAGCTTCCCAAGAGATGAGAGGTTATGAGCACCACAGAACTGCTAGGCTGGGCTACCCCTGCTTTAGGAGAAGTTGGAGCCATGGCTGAGTTTCTCGTGATAAGGTCTCCTGCTTCTTCATATATCCTGCAGGGTCCTGCCCTTAACTGAGAGGGAATTAAATCCCTTAATACATTTTAAATTGCTCTTCTCCTCTGCAGAGTGAGCTTAGTATTTCCACATCTCAAATAGTTTGAGCACTTCCCCACCCTCTTCCTGCTCACTGGTAGCAGAGACCAGGAGGGGACAGACACAAGATGTAGCAGAAGAAAGGAGCATGAGGACAATTGTAGCCATAGGAATGTTCCAGAGAGATTAAGAGAAATAAAACAGCTTGTGCTGTCCAGGGGGCTGCATGGGTTAAGCTGCTTTTTGCAAGGGAGCAGAGGGAACATCTTCCCTGGGTGTGCTGTGCAGTGTCTCCCACCAATATCAGTCCCATCCCAAATTCTAGTCATGGACTAGAGTCCACCTCCTGCCCAGATCCAGTTCTGGATGCTGCCCATTATTAAATCAGTGAGGCTTAATCATATTGGGGGATGTAAACAACACATGGACAACACCTTTGGAGGCTGAGACGAGACAGGAGCTCCTCCTTACTGGCAGCTGGTGCCCCTCTTCCCCACACCTAGTGAGGATTTATTTATTTACCCCTGCTGGATAAAGTGCCCTTCTCTTATCTGCCCTGCTCTGCAGATGGAGGAATAGCTTCAGTGGACAACACCTGTGGAATGACATCCATGGGGAGCTGTTTTGGTGGAGGATAAAGAAATCTTGTGGGGCAGACTACGATAAAAGAAGGGAATCAACACTTTTTTTTCCTTCCAGGAAGAAAACAAAGACGTTTCAGCAGAGAGGACACAGTAAGGTAAAGCAGCTGGTCTCCTGTCATCACCCACCCACACCAACATCCCGACCAGCTCATTTTGTGGGGTTTTTTGTCCTCAGCAGTGGCAGCACTGCCAAGGCATCCCCCTTGTGAGACACAGACCTCTGAGATGGGCCATGCACCTGGCTCCTGCTGCCTCGGGACACTTTGCCTCTTCTCAAGCCCCGCAGGTGGGGAATCACTCCCAGCCAGTTTGGAGATGCACACCAGCTGTCCCTCCTGCCCTTCCTGGCACCCAGCACGCCCTGACACACACGTATCTATCTCCCAAAGGTCCTTCTCGTCCCACCACAGCAAGAGTGGAGGCACCAAGGGTGGATTAAAGCTGCAGGAATTCCCATCTTCCTCATGGACTATGCTGAGGCCAGAATGGTATTTCAATAACCTGGTCTCTTTTTGGAATAATCCACATGGCCCACAGCTGAAGGTTTTAAGGAATACAGATATCCAGTGCTGCCCAGCCACCTCTGCTGGTGCTCCAGTGGCTCTGCCTTCCCTGTTGCTCCCTCTGACCCTGATGTAAGGCACCACCCCGGGGCGTGAAGCAGTGCCAGCCCCAGGAGGATTCCTGTGAGGATGGACGAGGATCTCCGGCCTGCTGACCTGCTGTGGCCAGCTGTCCCTTGCAGCACCAAAAGTGGGAAAGCACATTACTCTACAGACCAAGCAACCTGTGACCAAGCCCCAGTTCTGTGACGCTCCCCAGGAGGCGTCCCTGCTGTTTGCTGGGTCCCCAAAGCACCCTGCCTCTCCTCAATGTGCAGGCTGGAAGCGCAACAGACAAGCAGGGAACGGCAGCCCATGTGGTAAACAGGCTTTACCTCTGAGCAAAAAAAGCTGGCACCTCAGAGTTCCTGCAGCCAGCTGCAATTTCAAGACTTCCTTTGCCCTCTAATTAGTTGGCATTTGCTGTACCAACTATTATCTTTCTAGCTGCACAGCGCTGAGGACAATGGCTCCTTATTTCCTGCCACAAACACGGGGTTACTCTTTACCTCTGGCTGTACCTCCTCTATCTCCTAGTCCCATTAGAATAAAGTATCACTAATGACTGCAGTGATGGGAAACACTAGTCATAAATTAAGACAGTTGGAGCCTTCAATTATTTGCAGCGTGTAGCCTGTACTCAAACACTTACCTGCTCCTCTAAAAATGCTCGTGTATTTCCACCCTGAACCCAAATGGATGCTCAGAGCTGCTTGAAACAAGATGCTTGTGTCAGTGTGTGTCTCAAGCTGCGTTTTGTCCCAAGCCAGTACACATTTGAGCAATTCCAGGGGGCCAAATGCCTCCCTGATGTAATTCCATTGGGATGCTTACATGTGTGAGTCCGGGTATGTGTAGGAGCAGCAAGCCACTCTTTGCACTGCGTATGAGGCTCTGCAGCTCCTGCTGCGTGGGGACTTGGGATGCCTGACGATGTGGGGCCCGGAGATGGGGACCTGGACACAACAAGTGTAATTTCTGGCTGCCGCAGGGCTGCCACCAAGCTCGGAGGGGCAGGCACGTAAATCCTGTCTCCGTGCACGGAGCTGCCCAGCAGTCCCGGGGGCGAGGCACCGCTCACAGCTACACCGACATAAATTTACGGTGATCCTGCTAATGCCTCTGCAGCTACTCCTGCTTCTGCCAGGAAAAGTGAGAACGGGGTCTGGCTGCGAATCTGCGAAGTTTTATGGGAAGGAGGGTGGGGGACAGCCCCCAGTGTGATTCCTGCTGTTGCAGGCGAGGGATGGAGGTGCTTGTTGAGCGCCAGCCCCATCAAGAGCTCCATGCGCTGTCTCCTCTGCCAAACTCTGCCAGCCCATTTCAACAGCATCCCCGAACCGGGCTCTGCCTCATTCGCACCTTCCCTTCACCCAGCCGCCCACCCGCACTGGGAGACAGATGCCAAAAACCCCTGCTGAGATGGAGCAGCAAGTCACCCGGTCAAAAACCCTCCGCTGGCGGGGCCAGGACCGCGCTGCCCGTCCCGGAGGGGGTTTGGCTCGCAGCTCGTTTGTCTCCCGGGCAGGAGCCCCACGAGCAGGCTGCTCCGAGCCCCCGGGCGACACGCGGAGGGCACGGAGCTCCCCGCAGCTCGGGGCGGCGGGGCCGGGGAGGACGCGCCGGGAGCGGGACACCAGAGCCCGAGCCCGCCCGCGGGGGCTGCGGGCTCCAGCGCTGTCCCGCCGCTCCCTCGGCCCGCCGCGGGCGCCCGCTCACCTGCCGCTGCCGCCGGCGGCGCCCGGGAGATGCAGGTAGGAGGCGGCCCCGGCCCGGCGGCAGGAGGGCGGGAGGAGGAGGCCGGGGGCCGGGAGGTGTTCGGCCGCGCCGGGCGCTGCGGACCCCCGGGCTGGGCTCGTCGCGGGGCCGGACGCCTCCCTGCGCGGCCCCCGAAGGGGCGGGAGGCGGCGCGGGCGGTACCGGGGGTCTGCCGCTGCTCGCAGCCCGGGAAAGGCGTCCGCGCTTTGCCGCCGAGCCCGGCAGGCGCCCCCGGCCCCGTGAGGCCGCCGGTCGGGGCGGAGCGGGGCTGCGGGGTCGGGCTGCGCGGAGCCCCGCGGCGGCCGGGCCCTGTGCGGGCAGGGAACGTCGGGGCCGAGCCGCCGCCGGGCAGGAGCTCCGGGTGAGCCCGCAGCAGGGACACGGGACAGCGGAGCGAGGGGCTGGGGCCGATTGCGGGGTCCCGGTGGTGTTACGGCGGTGGGAGAGAGCTGCGGTGCCGTGAGAGACGCTGCCGGGCCGTGAGGGGCCAGCCCCGGCGTGAGGGGCCAGCCCCGGCGTGAGCGATGTCGCCGGGGCGTGAGGGATGCTCCTCCGGGGTGCTGATGAAACAGATGTTCCTCGGGCATGACAGACAGGAGTTCACAAAGCAGATGTTGCTCCAGTGGGGTGGACCTCACTGAGAGCACAAGGATTTTGCTGTCAGAGGAGGATCCTTTCCCTGGGCAAGGCACGGCGGCTTTCCTGGGAGCGCCCACAGTGTCCTTCTCACCCGTGTTGTGCGGTGTGGCTCCATGTGCCAGCACGAGCCATGGCATGTGGGAAAGGGTTCTTGTGCTCTTGGAAGCCCAGAGAAGTGAAAGTGTGGCCGGTTTCACAGAACCAGGGTATGAGCATCCCAGTTATGTCTGTGACAGACACGCTCTTCTATGAAACTTGGTTTTTCTTCTGAGAATTGTGGTGTAATACTTCCCTTAGTGGTACGAGTAAAGCAACTTCCCCAAACATATTTTTGTGTGCTCTGATGCACTTTATTGTGCCGTGTTTTTAATGGTTTTCCTCTGCCATCAGGTGAGTGTCCCTGTAAGTCTCTCTATCCAACTTTCACCTATCTCTTAATGCATTCCTGGCTGCCCTGCAGTCCATCATCATCATCACTCTTGCCCTGCTGCCTGCACCCACCTGTTCACCTTTGGGGTCAGGGGTTTTTGTGACAGAGCTTTTTCTTACATGTATACTGGCATTGAAGCTCTTACTTCAATTTCTTCATAACCAAAACCTTGGGCGTGTGTTCCTTGTGTGCACCTGCCCATTTCCAGTGCAGTCTGCTCTGCTCCACTCCCCTGCACGTGAGGACTGTGTGCATCAATGCTTGCTTATCTGCCTAGCTGTTGGGGGCTCTTTCTTGGTACCCTTAGGAGGGTTTTTGTCCCACACAGCACTGGGCACACACAAGGTCTCTCTCTCCTTCACCCTCCTTTACACTCATCTCCATCCATCTGTCCCTGCCTGGTGCATGGACATCTCCAGTGTCTCCCTCCTTCCCCACACCACGCCATGCTCAGGTGTGATCCTGTCATGGCCCTTCCTTCCCACATTTGCAGCTGGGCATCGACACGTGAGTTGGAGGGATCACATCTTCTGATGGTGCCTGTCTTCTGTCAGATGCAGTTGTAAGTGGAGAGCCAAGCTGGCTACATGCTCTTCTTCCCAAAAGAGAAAGAAATGGGCTTTCTCAAGGGTGGCGAGAGAGAGGCAGACTCCTCTTAAACCAGTGTCCTGTGCATGGACAGCTGGGTTTAGCCAAGGTAAAGGTTGGGCTCTGCAGGAATTCAGGTGGAATGTTTTTCACCCCAAACATCCAGGATATGGGATGAGTTGCCACGTGTGCAGAGAAGCTAGCCCAACTACTCGGGGTTTTTATCCTTCTTGGAAGAAAGTAGCTGAGTCTATGAGGAGAGCAGCACGAGGATGAGCTGCCAGTGCGGGTCAGGAGGCAGAGCTGGGGAAGTGAGCTGGCCCCAGTCCAGCCTTGGGTTTCCTCTGCTCACAGGCTCCGTTGCTCATTCATTTCTGTGCCCAGGAGTGTCTGCAGCAGATCCCTTCCCTTAGGAAAGGAGTCCCTCCCAGGCTCCTTCAGTCTTTGCTCACCTCTCCTCTCAGGAGCTGTAAGCAGCCCCCGTGTCCTTTCCCTTGTATCTGGTGCATGGACATTGAAAATGTCCTTCCACGTGTGACTGATCTCAGTTTAGGAAAGCTGAAACTGAAGCTGTGGCTGCAGGCTCCCAGCCCTGAGAAGTCTTCTTTCTCAGCCCTTTCCCTCCCAATCTGCCAGAATTCATTACATCAGTTGAAAAAATAAAATAAATTTGGAAAGAGCTGGGTCTAGAAAGTCAGGGGTCCTGTGTTTTAAAGAAAAATGAGCATTCTTGTATAGTGAAATCTCCAGAAGCTTTTTCTTTTAGGAAGAGATCAAATAGTGTGAAAATTCAAGTTATCTTTAAGCTATTTGTCCCTTCCTCTAGCCCAGTAGGCCCCTTTGTTTCTGGACTGCTTCACATCTTCAGTCTTTTGTCCTGAAGTTGTTGGGTTTGGGTTTCAAGGCACACAGGGAAACCAGCTATTTTCTGAAAACTGCATGATTGCTCATTTAAATGAATATAAATTGTTTCTATTCATAAGATTTTTTTTTTCTAGCAGCTGATCAAAGTTCGAGTGAAAACCATTTCATCATTTCCAAATAAATTGGACACACATGCACACACACACACACTGAGCATTTCAGAGAGACTTTTAAACACAGTACTTGTAAAATCAGAATATGGACAACCAAGACATGTTAGGTAAGACAGGACAGTCTGTGATTTGGTTCCACTTCTGCATAGAAAGGGATCTTCCTGGGAGAAGGCACACAGACTTTATTAAAACTGAAGACAGTGCAGAGGGGACTCAGGGGAATTTCTCCTGCACTAAAAAAATCCTTTTCTAATGGGAGATTTAAGGAATGAAGACCTGTGTAGCATTTGAGAAAGAACATTAAGATGTAGCGTGGTGGGATACCTGACTGCTTTCAGCAGCTCTGAAAGAAGCTGGTGCTTGGAGAACTTTCTAATTCAAGAGAACTTAAGGCATGTGGTTGGGCATTTAGGCTGTGTTAGAACCAGGCAGTGTTTTTAACAGCAGGGTGATTAACCCTCAGAACAAATGACCAAAGGCTTCTCCACCTCTTAAAATCTTCCAGTAGAGAGGGGGGTGTCTCTTTGGAAGGGACATTCTACTAAAGTGCAAGTTCTTGGGCTCACTGCAGAGACAACTGGCTGGGACCATATGGGCAGAATGACAGATGAGACCCAGCCTGTGATGCACCAGCCCCTCCCCATCTTTGATGAAGCTCAGGCAGGCTTTGCCCTGCTCTGAGAGGTGGAGCTGGGGGTCCCTGGGGCAGAGGATCACTCCTGGCCCAGCAGCTCCCCAGAGTTTGGGATGCTCTCCCTGCCTGGCAGCCCTCTGCAGTCTGCCTGTGGGGATCCTTCCCTTGTCCTTGGAGCTGTGAAGCAGGCAGTGAGCTCTCGTGGCTTCTCTCAGGGCTGCAGGCAGGGCAGAGCAGGGAGTGCTCTGTGTCCCCTCCACTTCACAGAGTCTGGATAACTCGAGCTCTAGAGGCTGGCTGAGTTTGCAAGACTTGACTCCTTGGTTTTGGTTCTTTTACTCTTTTCTTCCCTCTGAAAGGGAGCTCAAAAAGGCTCTGACACAAAATGGCCACAACCATATTGCTGGTTGGGTTTCCCCTGGTGCATTTCCTTTGCATGGTCCCTTTGCACCCTGTGTACTCAGGATTTGCACCTTTCCTTATCCTGCAGTGGCCTCCATGCTTCTCTCAACAGCTTTCCTGCTCGCTGGGGATGCTGCCAGGCAGGAGGATGCTTGGAGCAAATGCTGGGGTAGAAATGCCCACAGAGCTGTGTGCTCCCGTCCCACTGGCCCCGACAGCCCTACTCCGAGGTGCCTCAGCCCCCGAGCAGTTCTTTGAAGGGCTCTCCCCAGGGGCTGGCAGTGGCAAACACGAGGGTTGTGTGAACCCCATCTCTTCCCCTCGGAATGTTTACCTGTCTAAATTTAACTCCCCAGCCAGCTTCATCCCTCCTAAGCCGACCTGTTCTCTTGTGGCTGGGCTGTGGCTCTGGCTGCCGCTGCCGCGTTTCCTGGCTGCCTCGGGCTCGTGGTTTGCTGCTTGCTCCCTCTTCTCCGTGGATGCTGGCTCTTTCAAGGTCCTGGGCAAGCCAGTTCTCCCTCTCCTAGGTTTTATTTTTAAATCTGGTTGCACAGCCCTCAGGACTGGAGGGTCCCTTGTCCTCTCATCTCTGAGTGTTTATTCTGCAGCGGGCTTCAGGAAATCTCCCCTTGTCCCACTGTAGCCCACAGTTTTCCTCCCTGGCTGTGGTTGCTCCCAGAGACCAGGCATGCTGAGTTGCTCCCTGGCCAGCTCTAAAGGGACAGTGCCTCTTTCTGCTCCCATAGGGATCCAGCAGTGGGGAAGCAGGAGGTGCTTCCCTGCAAAGGCATCTTCCTTATTTCACTTCGTTCAGAGCTGGGCTTTTGTGTGATTTTGTTTGAGAAGTGAGTGATGTGCCCCTCATCTTCAGAGGAGCTGGAGAGAGGGACAAGCAGAGGACAGGGAGTGCTCCTCTTTCTGTCAGGCTGGATAGAATTCGCTGTCTTTAGAATTTCTGAGTTTGGTACAGTAAATATGGCCCAACCTGGCAGCCTTCTCCATCTAAATAAAACCATCAGGATCAAACCATTTGTGTCCTTCATAACCCTGCAAGAGACCCCTGACTGCTCTCTCTTTCCAGGCATGCCTGCAGCTAATGCTGTGGTCTGCCACATGAGAGAGGTGGTTTGAGTCCTGGCCTCCTCTCCCCTCTTTGAGCTAACCCGGTGGCCTCGGGTTTCATACTCTCATATTCAGAGCAAAGGTAATGCAGGCCAGGGCTTTCATGCCTGCTGATTTGGGGTATCCAGCTCTGAATGCTGTCAAAGGTCCTGTTTTTCCCCGAGGTTCAGCTATTTCGGATACTTGGGCATTCTTGAGTAGTCTGGGCTTGATTATTCAAAGTGACTAGTCCATTTTGCAAAGCTTCATCCCAGCCTCTGGAGCAGAACAGAATGAGATGAATTAGTGCAGAACGTACCACTCAAATGGAGTGAGTTTTCCTGGGAATCAGTCTGTGGCCAGAGAGCTCATGGCACTGTTGCGTGCAGGGATGGGTAAAGAGCTCTTGGTTTTGATTAATTTGTGGTTTTAAGTAGCTCGTGGGAAAGGCTCAAAGGGTTTGATAGTTTTTGTCTTAGGGGAAGAGAAGCAGAGCAACGTTGTGTCTTTGTATAGAGGGAGATTTGTGAACGCACACTGAAGGATTTGAGGGAAAATACGTTTTCTGTAAGCTCTCCCATCTCGACTGGAGGTGAGGGAGACTGGAGTGATTGGGCGGAACATGTGTTTCAGATTTGTTTTTGTCCATCACTAAGGACAGAGGGTTAACAAAAGTCACAGGAATACTAATATTTCAATGGTCTCTCTAAATGTCTTCCTTTTCCAGTTGTTCTGTGTTTAGCTTTTTGGCTGGTTTGCTGCCATTGTTTAACTGAGTCCTGAAGCATTGTAGCACCTCTGTTATGGACAAGTTGGAGCTGTAAAGCAAATTAAATGAGAATCTCCCTTGCCTAGCTGGAAAACCTTTCTGAGCTTTGTTATGTATCACAGAGTGTCGAGAGAGACATATGAGCCCAAGCATGTCTTCATTAATGGAACATTTTTCAGAAAAAAATAATTT